ACAAGCATGTGTTATTATTTAATTCTTTCACAGCTAATTAAGAGTTAAGTCTTCAACAACAATTCAAGTGTTTTCACTTCTGCATTTTACTTTTTTTTTTAACAATATCAAGAAATCCAAAATGTTATATCATGTGATCTGTTCAGCAAACGATGTTACAAACTATGCCCATGTTTTTATATCAAAGTTTTCAGAAAATAACAAAGTTACATACTGTATAGTAAATTTACTGTAATTGCTATAGTTAGAAATGCACATAAACCAAATATTGCTTTTATTTTATATGGAGTCTATTGATATAATAATAAGGCATTCACTGTTAATCTTTTCACCACCAGACTTTCTTTCCAAATTTTTTTTTGCACTTTTTTCTTAATTTCATCAATATTTCAGAATAATAATTTGGAGCTAACAGAAACAAATTCAGTCAACTTGGTGGAAAAAAGGTTAAATACAATTTTGAAAAGTCCTTGGTACTTAAAAACAGGAAATTAACAGGAAAACAGATAAACTCTTCTAAAATATGGTAATCAAATTAATGAAAATATTACAAGAACTGTTTATAAACAAGTGGCAACAAGAAATCAACAATAATAGTCGCAAGGTTTCCACACAGCTTCCACAGGCTCAGATTGCCAATATCTTTATTGATGAAGTATCACAATAATATTACACCACACTTACCTGTCTAGTAAATCACCTTGTCCCAGCTGTCCAAGGTTACCCTTCCCCCAGCTCCATACTTCAGTTTGTAATGTCATGTCATCAGCTGATGGCGATACGTCTGCAATCCATGCTTTATGCTGCATAGAATCCATACTAGAAGACAGCGAACCTTCCATCGAGTTATCATCATAGTTCACTTCATATACAGAATCTGCACTTGCTGATTGGATGTACTTGGACACAAACGATGATGCGGTTTCGGATCCTGTACTCAGGAAGTTATTGAACCTTTTTTGCAGAACCTGCGGTAATTTGGAAACTATTCTTTCTTCACTCTGGCCTTTACCCGTGGACCTCTGCAAGGTCTTCTTTTTACCAACTGCTAGCTGTTTTTTGAGGAACTCCTTAGCAGCTTTGCCTTTTGGGAAACTTGTTGTCGCTTTTTCATCGTAATCATCTGAGAGTGATTGTGATTGATCCGTGTCATCTACCATCCCACTATCTGTTGCATCATCACCTTCTTCAAGACTCTTAGCCTGCTTGGCAGTGTCTTCAAGTGTGTAGGTTCCCTCGCTATCATCAGATTTCGCATCCTCATCAGCTTCAAAAAGAACTTTCTTTGTGGAATCATTTTTGATATATGGCGAAACTTTGACTGTTGGCAACGAGCACGCTGATGTTGCAACTGACGACACATCAAGACTGTCAATTGAATACGCTGGCGTTGATCGTAAATTCACTTCATCAGGGCAGTTGTGGTCACATATTATGACAGTATCGCTCTGATCGGATACGCTAAAAAGTTCCTGGTTGCATTTGGAGCAGTAGGAGACATCATCGGGTCTTGTTGGTGACCTTCCAGCTCTATTTTTCTGTACAATAGCTAGACTGTGGACATTCCCGCTGCTGATGCTTAGTACTTTCCGTCCCTTCAGTGCTTCCACACGCTGTGGAACAATAACAGGATTATTTCCAGTTCCTAATCCAAGTTGATGTCCAGTTCCCCAAGACCATATTTCTCCGGTATTACTCAAAACATTCACATGTCGGTCACCACACGTGATTTGCATAATAAGCGGATCATCGCCATCAGGATTTGTAATATGAACTTGTTGCGGCCGTGTAATCTTATCCCCTTTGTCACTCGCACATTGAGCAGCCGAGTTATCCCCCCAACAGAACACACCTCCATCCGAGCACACCACACCAGTGTGATTACTCCCACATGCTACATCGATAACGTTCTCACTTGCTAAATCACGAACCAAGATCGGTTTTTCTGTCACATCATCTAACTTTCCAGTTCCCAACTGTCCGAATTCACCAGATCCATGGCAGTAAATTTCATTTCTGTCCACAAGAAAAGCACAATGTTTACTCCCAAGAGAGACCTTAGTGACGTTCTTCTTAGCAAAGATGTTAAAAGTTAAAGGTGAAGTGTTGCTAAGGAAACCTTTCCAGAGACAGGCTTCTCCTTGTTGTACATCCTTTTCTTCACTATCTTGAGCCCTGTCACAAAAAAAAACAATAAAATTAGACAAGTAATATATAAAATTTGAATTTAAGGAGCTTTGTGCAAATTAAAAATTAAATGCAAGTTTCTTGATTAAATATGAGACTTTCAAAAAATATAAGTTGGTCCAGGTGATTTGATAAATAAAAAATAATTGTGTGGACTGCCAACTCTCAATATTCATGTTTCTTCGAAATTAATTTCACATTTGTTTCAATCTACGTTAACTATTTCATTACTTTATTACATTTTAAAACACCAAATTAGAATTTTAAAATTTTCTACACAGTTGTAATAAAGCTGTTATCTATCTGCCTTATTTTATTCATTATCTTGGGTTGTAAAAGTCCAAATAAATTATTAATAATTTTCAATCCGAATATTTTTTTCATTATATTCAAAGGAATTCTATTATCATAGGACATATGCTCAGTAATATGATAACAAGTCATTCTGATGTATGACCTCTGAATGATTACATATCCTGCTACTACTATACTATATATACATGTACATGGAGATACAAATTACATCTAAGAATTAGAATTTGAAATATCCCACCCCAAAAAATACAACCAGCTGTCACATAAGTTTAAAACGTAGCAAAAATTGACAATATATAAAATATTGAAAATTATTGATTTCATAGGGCAACAATTAAATACTCAAGAAATCATCCGAATGTGTGACTTTTAGTTTTACATATAATTCATAATTGAATTTAGCTTGCAATCAACCCTTTGAGCACAGAAGATCAATAAGCACATTCGATTAAAAGTTTTTAAAAAAATATAGAAAAAGTAAAATTTGTAGCAAAATTTTGAAAATAAGTGGCAATCAACGGGTTAACCTTTTCACCACCAGACTTTCTTGCCCAAATTTTTCTGCTCTTTTTTTTCTTATATTCTTCAATATTACTAGAAATGAACCCTTATTTTGGAGCAAACAATCAAAATTTGAGTTTTCACTCAAAAAATGTGGCCATCGATGACCTAATCTTCTGAAGGAAAATGCAGACTGGGAACTGGTGGTGAAAAGGACGGTGGACGTTGTGCCCTGTTCAATGTGGGACTCATAGCAATGTACACAACACATGTTAAATACATTGTTCATTTACATGAAATTTGAACACCAGATATGTGACTACCACGGCCCCTTTAAGGATATGAGAGTAAATTGTAATGCAGACAGACAATAATTATGTATACTATTCTCTGGAAGTGGTAAAATATGAAAAGAACAATGAATCATTACAAATACACTGTATACGCCACCAAGGATTATATATCAATTTGTAAAACAAGTTGAAGGTAAGAAGTGGTCCAAATACACCAGTTTGAGCAGTTGTCATCATCAAAAAATAGGCTCTAGTAATATTGTATATATAATATATATATATATATATATATATAGATAGATATAGATAGATAGATAGATAGATAGATAGATAGATAGATAGATAGATAGATAGATAGATAGATAGATAGATAGATAGATAGATAGATAGATAGATAGATAGATA